GGTTGGAAAAGTGGGGGTCGTCTTGTACATGGGGGCATCTTATTGTTGGAAAAATACGGTAGTTTGTAGTCCTAGAAGCAAAAGAGTAGTCTAGTTACAGTGCCAAAACTCACGAAGCCAAAGCAAATAGTCAGCCAGTCCAGAAGTCAGGAATTCAAGGACAGGATACACATAAGACATGAGTTCAGGTTTCAAACACTTGTTTTCCAACACAGTGAAGGCAAAGCAAGCTACATAAATCTCTCTGCTGGCAGCTGGCTGAAATTTTTCAGGCCTCACCCTTTGCCTTGCAAGGAGTCTCATTGATTGACACTGCTCTCCTTGCCTCTGCATGCATCTGGATATGGGGCTTGGGGGTCATGCCTCATCATCTCACTGCTCCAGCTGATCAGGAGACACCTGATATTGTATATTGATCTTTAAGACCTTCTCAATTACTATATGTAGCTGAATTCAATATTTTATAACCTTGTTACATGCCCATCAAGTGCCAATAAGAGGCCCATGGTAGAGTTCAAAGAAAATGCCCTGCCTCTCTTTCAGCTTTCAATTCAATTTCAGCTGCATGTCCCACAACACCTTCTTATTCATCATTGATCTTATTGATCATTGCCCATTGATCATTTGTCCTGCATGAATTATTTCTTATCTTTTTGGAAAATATTTTAGGCCCAAGCCAAATAGTGTGGAATATGGGCCCCAACTCTCCTTTACTCTTCTAGCAAACCTACTCTGACTTGATCGATGATTATATACCATCAAGTTGTTTTCAACTTGTAGCAGCCTCATAGACAGATTTGGTCCAAGACGAAACACTCACATCACCACCTCAAAAAACATAATCCCAAACATTGATTTAGATTGGATTGTTCATGATGTTATGGCCATAGATACTATTAAATGCTAGCTAAAGAAAAATGGCCTGTGTTTTTCAGATGCATCCAGTTGCAGCCAATGTCCGGATGACCAGCATTCCAATAAGAAGCGAGATCAATGTGTCCCAAAAGTTATCAGCTTCCTATCCTATGAAGAAATCTTGGGTCTCATCTTGGCTTCCTTGGCCCTTGCTTTCTCCCTAACCACTAGCTTTGTTCTAGGAATCTTCATTAAATACCGAGAAACTCCCATCGTCAAAGCCAACAACCGGGACCTCACCTACATTCTCCTGGTTTCCCTCCTCCTCTCCTTCTTGACCTCCCTTCTATTCATTGGTCACCCAAACAAAGTGGCCTGCCTTCTTCGACAAACCACCTTTAGTGTTGCTTTCTCAGTTGCTGTGTCTTCTTTGCTGGCCAAGACTGTCATGGTGGTGATGGCTTTTCTGGCCACAAAGCCAGGCAGCAGGATGAGGAAATGGCTGGGGAAGACTCTGGCCAACTCTATTGTCTTGTCCTGCTCTGGGGTTCAGGTGGGCATCTGCGTGATATGGCTGAGAATCTCTCCCCCATTCCCAGACTCTGACATGCATTCCCAACCAGGACATATCCTGTTACAGTGCAATGAAGGCTCAGTCTCCATGTTCTACACTGCACTGGGCTACATGGGCTTTCTGGCTGCCATCTGCTTTTTGGTGGCTTTCTTGGCCCGAAATCTGCCAGGGAACTTCAACGAAGCCAAGTGGATCACCTTCAGCATGTTGGTTTTCTGCAGCGTTTGGGTCTCCTTTGTCCCCACCTACCTGAGCACCAAAGGGAAATACATGGTGGCTGTGCAGATTTTCTCCATCCTGGCCTCCAGCCTGGGCTTACTGGGCTGCATCTTTATCCCCAAATGCTACATCATCATTCTGAGAGCTGACAGAAACACAAAGCAGCAGTTAATGATATAAAACAATAAGGAAACCGGATTTTGGTGCCTATTGTTCAATAGTTAATTGGTAATTTGAAAAAAACATAGCTTAGATTTACACTCCCTTTTATGTGTTCTAAGAAATCTCTGTTCCTTTCACGTGAATTTTGAATTATAATGATTAAATAATGAAACAGAAGTAGCATTAAATTATCTTTTTTTAAAAATTAATTACATTCTTTACTCTCTTTCAATCTGATATCAGGTAGGATTAAAATGATAATCCATTTTCTGAAACCAGGTCAGATAATATATCACCACAGCAGATAAAATGTCACTCATCACCTTTTGATATTGCACTCTGGGCTTATTTATTAGGTCTTTGTAGCAATTTGCATTTCTTACCTCCTTTTTGAATAGATTGACACCAACCTGATCAATCAAGGGAGAAAAGCAAAGCTTCAAGGGAAAGAAAGGCCTGTCATGATTCAAGCAGCTTCCAAAGCCCAAAGGGCTGAGGGCTGGACAGTAAGCATCCTGCTGAGTAAGATGTCATGAGAGAATGCACACCTCCCTTCCTCCAGGGAAAGCACCATCTTTTCTTCCACCTCTTTCTGCAAACCCTGAAAGCAGCAGATTTCCAGACACTACTGTTCTGCCTTCAGAAGTTCAACTGAGACTGACTGCACAGATCAAACCTAGTTATCTGATGTGGACTCTCAAAAAAAAAAACCACTATATAATCAAAAACATCACAACAATGGCCAGGGAATTTCCATCAAATCTTATCATCATAAACATAAACATTGCTATTTCTTCTCCATTTTGTAAAGCACAAGATATTGTAACAGGGCCTCTGAAGGGTCACCCAGTTGTTATCTCTACTTGGATGTAGCTATTCTGGGGTATCTGACCTGCATTCAGGAAAATGGACTCATCCACACCAAGATGGAGTTCCCCCTGGACAGTTAATAAGGCTTCAGCTGATTTAGTGTATTACAGCCTTTAATACTGAACATATTACAACCTTTAACCATCTCAAAATAAGTTTCTTAAGTAAAGGGTAGTCAAACTTTCCTGAATTCTTCCCCTCTTGACTCTTAAACTGGAACTCTCTGATTCACACAAAAATATTTTCTCCATCTGCACATCTCTGTTGCCACAATGATTCCCAATTCTCCTTCTAATTATCAAATCCATGGTGATGGTAACCAAGCTTAAGGGATTGCATCACCATCATCACAGGACATTTTTGAAACCATGGTGACAAATATTTGCTACATCCTCCTATATAAAACATGACCATCTGATCCATAATTACCTCCTGCTTTGTTGAGAATAGAAGGTGCTATTGATTTAAACAGGGACCAGGCCAGTCTGAAATTAATGGTTGGGGCTTCCAAATTTGGTGCCAAGCTGGACCATCTTCATTGGAGAGAAATTCTTCAGTGCAGACATACTGTTTATTAGTAGTTTTTCCTCATAATTAACCAGGGATCAAGGAAGAGCTGTCTTTGCCTGAAAGATAATTCTGGCAAATAACACCATCATGGTATCTCGAGGGCTGCTGTTCCTGCTTCTGCTAGTGTCCCATTTTCCGTTTGTGTCACTGCTGAAGAAATGTCCATTGAATGTGATAATAGAAGGAGTACACAGGGACAATTTCTACAAGCCAGGAGACTACCTGATCAATGGAATCATATCCACGTCTAATGCTTTATTTCA